GCTTGTCTTCTGGTGTCGCCTCGCCTTCAATGTCCGTTTTTTTCTTTTCCCCTTACCCCACCCCCCTCAAATAATCGTAGGCCTAATTAAACTGAACGAGGTCGACTTGTTGTAGCGTATTAAGCTATCGAATGAAGATAGACGTTTCTGTACTCGAGTGTTGATAATTGTCCTATTTCATTATAACGTYACATCAAGAATTCTATTGAAGCTAAGGATTATGGTCCCCAGATGGGATTAGAGTGACTGCATCGTTRGCCTGTGTACGTCCGTTCCTACCCCTCCCCCGTGCAGGGAAAATTCGGGGAGGAAACGGATGGCTACTACATCGTCAAAAATAAAATGTACATGAGCWATTTTYATATATGACAYATATCAAAGCACGATAGATTAAAGTTCTACTTTCGGAGASARTATGAATGGGTCCAAATTTCCACTGTTCCTGAGCATGAAAACAAACAATGACGTCATAATGAAATAGGGCAATTGCAATAATAACTAAAACCAAAGATAAATAGAGCAAAAATAAATGACAAAAAAAGATAAAAATTATTCGCAAATGTAAGCCTATTAAGTTTTTGTTTCTCTCATAAAAGAGATCAAAATCTAGCTAATTGAAAATTGCTATTTACGAATATGATTATATGAATAATTATAGTGTTTCTAAGTTATAAAAATTTAGCCGTCACTCCTTRACGTTTGTTCAGGTTTCTGAGTAGCGCCGGCTAATCAATTGTCAATATTTTCAAGTATTTTTGTAATTATTCTTAAAGTTTCTTTTAGGCGCACCGCGGCTTRGAACATACAATCACTTTAACTGTAAAACTGTGTCGGACGATAGCATTTATTACTTATGAGTAGATTCCTTTTGGGAATCTTTTTATTGATGTCGTGTGGTGAATTCACTTTAGAAAAGGCTGATCCCGCWCTCCTAGGWGATTTTGTTATCTGTAARAAATACAGTTGACTCTCAAGCCATTTTCATAATTGTTATTGTGTTATTTGCCGACTTTTCGCAAACTTGTGATCTCAAATCATGTTGAGTTTTATTAAACCAATGTTAAAATTTGTTTGRTATTAAAAAGATTTCCCGCAACCGTATTTGAATTTGAATTTAGCTCAAAATTATAGATTTTCGGCTGATTTGGCATTTTATTCGCAGTGCGCATGTCTGTATTTTTTATCTTCTTATTGCACTTGCGCAGTAGCAARATTTTTTGTTGAGCCGCCGAAAATAACTTCCGCTGATCTAATTGGTGGTTTTGTCCATTCCGACGCCATGTTGTTTTCTTGATARCATCCAGTGATCAAAAAATTTCGGATCTTTTTTATCAGTGTGCCAGGCTTAAAGCTATTAGCAGAAAAAAATCGTGAAAGTTATGTTTATTGAATTGGTTTCTTCTTGAACTTGCCTCTTGAGACGCCTGTTTGCTCGCAGAGACCGTTTACCCGCAAAGAGTGATGGGAATTTGCGGGGAGGAATGACGTCATGTCGTGGCAATGGGAGTCAAGCCGACATTGAAATATCAACAACAGTAGTGTTTCGATGTAGCGGTCAATCAGATTTCAGACTATTTGAATGCTAGATTAGACTTTTAATCTACAACACTCCGCTTCGAGTCTTGTAATCACCGGACGACAATAGTCCTTAATCGCACGGCGCACATGAATTCCGATATTTTATATATATCCCTTTTTATCACAAAAGATTTTTCCAATAGTATAAATAATGATAATTCTAATAATTTGTAAAAAAGTCTTGAAAGGTTGAGATCCATGACAGTCAAAACAGAGCGGGGAAATTGTCATTTTCTCGTGCGTCTTTGATGATAAAAGTGTCCGAATAGACTTATCTGACTAGTGATCACTTCTCTTAGATSAAAAATTTGATATAATTGAATTCATGAATTATATAAATAGACTCRAGCTTTTGCTTTGGGTTTTCTGCATAAACATACCGCCAATATAAATAATGTTTTTTAATATACTAGATTTGTTTATACAATAGAGCATTTTCAAACTAAAATATGATTAAAAATATCGTTTAATTTATGAATAATTTCGCGTCTAGTCTAATATGTAATATAACTACCCACTCCCCCCTGATCTCCAGCTCTAAGTTTTAATTAAACCTAATGAGATCCAATAATTATATYTCGAGTAGTTTGGCATGAAAATTGTTTGGGTTGGGTTTTAGATTTTTTTACCTTGGTTCAAGACGTTTTTCTCTTCTTTTCTAGATGTTTCTGTTTTGTATTTATCATATTTTTGCTTTGAATTTTACACTTTTAAGACACCAGAAGAAGGCGACGTAACTCCAGCAGCAAGCATCGTAAAAATAAAGTAGCTAAAGCAAAAAATACCAAAAATACAACTGACAATAACGTCTGAAAAATACGAGAACCTCTGGAACCTTCTAAACGGGGATATGTACTTTACGAGAGTTAGTAAAACTGAATCGGAAAAGTTTGCATGTATTTAATTCATTTCTATGGTTTTCACTAAGTATATGAATCGATGTATCTTTGCATTCCAGAAATTCACCGGCATATTTTCCAGCATTTATAATGATTTATTTTCATTCCCAGCTCTGTTTTTTATACATTTAGAAGATTTTTGGGGGCCTCCATGGATTTGATTTTTTTTACTTGCATTTTAAAGTATCTAGAGCATATGAATGGTTTTTCAGCATATGAATATTTTGGGGCATTTTATTGGTTTCTCGGCATTCAAATGGTTTTTCAGCATTTGAATGGTATTTCGGCATTCAAATGGTTTTACAGCATTTGAATGGTATTTCGGCATTTGAATGGTTTTGTAAGCTTAAGTATTGTCAGTATTAGAAAGGCTTTTTTAACATTTGAATGGTTTTCAGCTTTTGAATGTTTTTTCCCCCTTATATAAAAGGTTTCTCAGCGTTTGATGGGTTTCTTGACATTTTTTCGCGCTTTTGTAATCATCTTTTATGGTCAAGATATTGAAAAGCTGTAGTTTCAGTGGTATCGCTGGRTATATTGTGTCCCAAACGGCTGCACGGCAAGTGTTTAAATTAATCTTTTAAAGGATGAGATAGCGTTTCAGTTGTAAATTAGTTTCTTACATGCGATTTAGAAAGATTGAGAACAGGGGGTACTTATWTATTGTACAAAATTGAAAAGAAAATATGCAGTCATTCCTTTTATTCTTTTAATGCATCGATATTAAAGTATCAAGTTTTTCTTTTGTAAAACAGCGGTTTTCCTATCAGATTTGTAATGTTTTATTCATAAATCGGACTGTAATTTTCAATGATTTGTGGTTTGGGGTTTTATATTTCAAAAGCTAGCTYACTATAAATCAATTATTGAATCCGCTATAGTTACAAGATTACATCACGCAAAATCAATGTCATCTGTGATAACAGTTKACATAACGAAATACATTTTTACAACAAAAAGTACTTGACGTCACTTGCTATACTTATACTTCTTTATCAGCATACATTTAACTTTATTTTTTTTCTTACAATTTATTTTTACAAATTGAATTTTTTTTTTGTCACTAATTTATTGAAAGTTGAATGCAGATTGTTTAGTTTATGCAAATATTTCCACACCCGATTATCAATGCAAATTTTCKATAGCCATGAATATGAATTTCTAATCATCCAACAATTTTYATACTTCTCGCATGATTAGATTCGACGTGAAATTCTACTGTCGTGGTCTCATTACGTGGTACTCATCACCGTTTTGTATCGTCATTGTCGTCTATAATAACTTCTAATACGAATTCGRGGATCATATACCCGAAATTGCTTGTAAATATCAAGCTTTAAGCTACATTAATGATTGACATTTAAAGCTACAAGAAAAGTCGTTTGTCTCTATGTTATTAACCTTGGGTTACCTTGATATATAAGTTATATAAACACTAGCGTTCTAGGATCTGTATATCAACGAAAAAAGTCGTGCGAACACAGGATYCAATTTCACTGTCTACCAAAAGCGCTTGAAGCACTAAGGGATCATAACAAAGCAAGTAAAAGGTAAGTAATGASTTATAAATGCAAAAAAACCTAATGCACAACAACATTGACTACGTTTATTTTGAGGAGTTATCTAAGAAACGGCAAAGCCTTATGTGGGAAATTTAGAGGCGTAGATTTCTTTTGACCTATCTACCACCGAAGTGACTAAACGGCTTTGTTTTGAAAAAAAAAGAGCCGTAAAGATATCGACTGTGAATCCATGCGATATTTTAAAGTCTAAAATTTTCAGACTGGAATATTATTATTTCATATTAAGTATGATATTAGAGCGTGATCTTTAACTTAAATTGTTGTCGATAATTTCAGCGAAACGCTAACAAAACSGGGAAAATAAGCGTAATTTCTTTGACAAAATTAACACGGATTTATGCGAAATTTWTTCTTTGAATTACATAATCCATTCTATTGTGATCCTATATAAACTGAGAGCATTGTTTGYGAGAAAGATTTCCCAATTTTCACTATGATTTGCTGGAAACGGGTTTAGGTTAAATAATAGATTTTCAAGGAGCAATTTATTTTATAATAGGCTACTTGGTGCTTGTATTGAGCCTGTTTTGTTTATCGCCGAGGGTAGTATGCATTAACACGAACTTATTGTACACCACAATTTGGAACTGAACTTATAAATTAGCCATATATGACTATTGATGACATGATGTGATCATGAGCTTTGTGGCGTTCTAATGTGATGGCATATTACCGAAGATGCATTTTCTTTGTTGTAGTGTAATCTGGACTGGACTGGAAATCGTCGATTGGACTATGAAGTCTCGATTGATTGAACCAGTCCAAATTTTCTCAGTGATGTTACATCTGCACGTGGCTGGAAAACATTTAAGATTCTCCCACGAAAACATTGATTTCTAACGATATATTAAGRTGTTTCGGCGAAGTGCATCATGGTAATGATAATGGCATAAAATGGCGGAAAATTAAAATTGACAAAATTTCCTTTCAAAAGTGTTAACGACGTTATCAACTGAGTCGAGAATGCTGGAAGAACTCTAGATAAGAATATTTTATACTAGGTAATACTATAATAGCCCTTTCTGGTAGACAAGTAATACTCGTTTTTCGCAAAACAGGCTCGGAAACCCCAGAAAAACGAACAAAAAAAAACATGGTCCAGTTTCTACTGATTTTGTCAATCCTKTGGTGWATAYCCAGAACAAGTGAGAAGTAACATTAAATGGCATTTTTGCTGAATTCGTTTTTACTAAATTCAAAAGTTGTGAACCAGACGTTTTTTAATATACAAACCGGCCGGTCATGCTGTGTGTCGGGAAGGTTTGCCAAAAAACAGCATTGCGCGATATTACACAGACTTGCCTTGGAGCAAACTACATAGTGCACAGTAAGCAATCTTGTAAGTGTTTCTTTGTCATTGCGTAACATTTATTCTCAAAGTCCTCCTTAGTTTGATTAAAATATCCGCCATTTTGATACTTTTGTCGTACCCTGGTTGCACTTCGACAAAGCAAACTCGACGTCACATGGGGAAAAATATTTGTGTATAACSTATATAGAAGACCGCATATTAACTAAGCGAGAATGGTTGGAAAGTTTATTCCTTATTATTAACTCAATTCAAAGAGAAACTCTCCAATTCTTAGTAGTAAGTTTACTTTAATTTATCTCAGGACTGATTGACACTTGACCATACGAAATATTAGACATTGTGCGTTTCTTTAAATTCAAAAACACTGTAAAATATCTTTCATATTTTCTGATTTGTAGGTATGGTAGACACACCAGATTCTGTGTGTCTGAAATGCTTTACTACTTTGTGCTGTTGCGTTTCTTCTTGGTGGAAACAAATGACATAAACTCGACAATATCAAGGTAAGAGTACAAAAACACTAAGACCATCACACTATACAACGTACAGTGACGCTATTTAGACATTAAGGGCCGGTTCACACTCTAGCATAAGCAGAAACCGAAGCAGAAGCTTGTTCACACTTGACATAAGCATGTTCTTCTGCTTATGATGTCCCGGTTCACACTCATGATATTTCAACATAAGCAGAAACAAGCAGAAGAGAATGGAAAAGTTTTCATTTTCATCTGCTTCTGTCTCCGCTTCTGTTTTTCCCAGGTTCACACATACAAAATACACTTCTTCCGCTTCTGCTTATGTCTTAGTGTGAGCTGGCCCTAAAGCATGATGGGAGATGTAGTCATCGCGCTATATGTTCGCTAAAATAATCACCCGAAACCTCTTTACAGAAATAATAACACAATTACCTTCTGTACATTGTCTATTATGAATAGTCTGTGCGCGCTTTGCGTGCTGACTTGCTTTGCCGCAAGAATCCTCTTCACTGCTACACTTTGAGCGCTATTCATATCAAGCATCGTAGTTTCGCGGATTTTTTGATCATGAAGTGTCTTTGTTTTTATGCCGTCTATGAGTCTACCGCAAACTTTCTAAAGCCTTGCGAAACTGAGTGTTTTCAATCTTAGAATCCCTTCACAACGACAATAAATGAGAACGTCACCGAGAAATTGTTAAATTATTGTTAAACACACAAACCGTCAATAGTGTCTTAATTGCTTTGAAGTTTGATGTCAGAATTATTTAAGACTGTTTGTTTTTCTTATCAAGTTGCTCCAAGTTGGGCTCTCGGAAATACTTTGCCTGTTTGACCGTTTTGGTAAATTTGTGGAAGTGAAATTCCTATTATTGCCATCGATGTATAATTAGCTGGCTTTATGGGGGCTTAAATTAGTATTGAATATGCGACATAAGGCTTATCTTATGTTTGCTCATTGATTGTATACTTGGTCTTTCCTATCTGACGCATAACTTGGGTATGAACTTGGTTTGATCTAGTTTTCCTTGTTTGTTTCATTGTTTGTCAATTCTCTTCTCTTCTCTTCTCTTCTCTTCTCTTCTCTTCTCTTCTCTTCTCTTCTCTTCTCTTCTCTTCTCAATTCTCAATTCTCTTCTCTCTTCTCTTCTCTTCTCAATTCTCAATTCTCAATTCTCTTCTCTCTTCTCTTCTCTTCTCAATTCTCAATTCTCAATTCTCAATTCTCTTCTCTTCTCTTCTCTTCTCTTCTCTTCTCTTCTCTTCTCTTCTCTTCTCTTCTCAATTCTCAATTCTCTTCTCTTCTCTTCTCTCTTCTCTTCTCTTCTCAATTCTCAATTCTCAATTCTCAATTCTCAATTCTCATCTCTTCTCTTCTCTTCTCTTCTCTTCTCTTCTCTTCTCTTCTCTTCTCTTCTCTTCTCTTCTCTTCTCTTCTCTTCTCTTCTCTTCTCTTCTCTTCTCTTCTCTTCTCTTCTCTTCTCTTCTCTTCTCTTCTCTTCTCTTCTCTTCT